GGACCACGATGGAGCAGGGGAAGAGTGCAAAGAGTTCTTTTCCACCCTAAGCGGGAAGAAGCTGCAACACTGACTGAGGTCCCAATTCCCTGTCCCCTGTGCCACTGGGGGGAAGGAGGTAGAAAAACTGGGAGCAAAGCTGAGCCTGGGAAGAAGGGAAGGGTGTGGGGAAGGTGTTTTTAAGATGCAGCAATGCTTTTCATCATCTTACTCTGTCTGTTAATCAGTAGTGTTGCTAATGCCTGAATTAAAGTGATGTCACATCATCCAGTTGCAAAGCTAATTCCTCTAAATTTCAGTCCCACACTGTCCTTCAGGCAGTGCCTCCCTCTCTTTACAGATACAGTTGCGATACTTGGTGCAGTAATAATTTGCATCAGGCAAATAAACCCCCAGACCAGGAGACTCCAACCTACAAAGATGAATTCCCAGGAACTGGTACAGACTTAAGGAACAAACTCGGGGTAGGTGGGATAAACCTCTGCAGCAGATTGATCAAGCCATTTGCAGCTCCAGTGAGGTCACTGGAATGGGTGCAACAAGCAGGGAAGTTGGGGCAGTTGAAGCAATTTTCCAAGTGGGAGCCAGAGAAAAGGAAAATATTGCATTTCCTCCATGAGAAGAAACATTCTTTACACAGCCAGGTTTAGACAGATTTGTTTCATAACATTTCATATCTTTCATTGTTTTGTGGGCACTACATACTTTAAGAATTGGACAACAATGGCTTTATGGGAATTAAAGGAAGTTAAATAGATGTTGCATTTTAAAAAGTTCTTGTAGCCAGTCCAGCTGGTGTGATTTCTTTCTATCCTTGGACCAGGCCTTTGGAAACCTCAGAAAGTCCTAAATAAGCCAAGACCAAAACCTGGTATACTCACGACCTGCTGGGCATGTAAGCGTATATGTGTTTGACCATTTTTGCTGTAATTGCATGCTGTGTTCAGGCCACATTCCCTTTGCTTGTTCTGTCCAAGCCAAAAATGTCAAACAAGTGCTACCGTCAGCAGGTGGAATCCCAGAAGTTGCTTAGAATGGGAATGCCTGTCTGTAAAGATGCAATATGGGATGGAGGGGAAGAGAGGAAAATAAGGTCAAAAGGTTTGGGGGTGCAGTGCATGCCCAAATCGTCAAGGCAGTCATGTTTTGCCCACATGGCAAGATCACCAGCAATCTGGTACGTAGCAAATGAACACAGAGCACAGAATATATTGAACACTGCTTCCTTATAGAAGGACTGGCTGGCTTTCTAGCAACAACCAGTTTCTCTTTCTCTTCTACATAGCCCTCCCTCTCCTGGCACTGGAGAGCTGCCAGCCTGCTGTAGCTAAACCCACAAGCAGAAGCAGCCTGCAAAAGCTGCTCATGTAGCAGCTGTTTCATCAAACTCACAAACTCAGTTGCCACAACACTAGAGCAAATACTAAAAGTTTACACTGTAGTGGGGAAATGAAGAAGCATGGGCCTTCTGTTCTTCCAAGTAATTCCTTCTGCAGAAAGCATCTAAGGACAACAAACCGCTCCCCTGGTGTTATGGAACAACCACTTCACTTTCACCAAGAACTAGAGACTGGCTACAGCATAATGCACGTGGACCAGATAGTCCCGGATATGACTGTAACGCTGCTTTTTGGGGTCTGGAAGGCACAGTGCAGCTATTCCCTAAAAACATGAAACCCCAGTGATGCTAATATAGCGAATACATCCTTTTTTTCACTGGTAGGTGAAAAGAATTTTACCTTCTTATTTTGTGTCTTTCACCATCTCCTTTTCCAGCCTCCAGTGAGAGGTGAGCTTACCGTTGCAGCTGCTGCCCCACTATCCAAGAAATCCTCGTGCACCTTCACTCCCCAGGTAATCACATAGCAAGCATGCTGCTGTTTGTGTGCCATTTATTTGAATCAGGAAGCCCTTGCATCAAATCAACTACAGCCAGCTGGGATGAAATGTGCTAATAAGGATTGCCGTAGGTTTTTTCCCTGGGGAACAAGCAATCCTGATTATGTAGAGCTGAAGTGAACTTCTGTTCCCCAATGTATTGGTACTTGTCAGAGCAGTTTGATGAAAGCAACTGGGTGGCAAGGAGTGACACTGTCTCCAGTTACCACAGCTACATGGGGTTTTTTGTTTATTTTTGTTGCCAAAGTACAGGATTTGTTCCTTGGTTTCTTGAGCAAAAACATCTCTTAAGATCTGGAATTTTTACCTGGGACCTTCAGAAATTAATATGACATCACCTCTGCCCTACCATCACATAGGTCTCAGTAGAGATCTAATATTACCTTGCCTCCCTATATAGGTGCTTCACATAATCTAAGAGGGTAATACCATACAGCTAAGCCTGCAAGAGGGTCAAGGAAACCTGAGGTGATTACAAGTAAATTATTTTGTTGCCACTCAGGGTCTTTTCTTTATTATTCTGGTCAAATCCATCCTAGGGGCCAAGCTTTGCCTGTGACTTGGACCAATGTCCACAGCTGCATCTAAGTAGGCTGAGGAGTGTGTGAGATTGTTAACACAAACAGCTGAAGGAGTTAAAAAAAAAAAAAAAAAAAAAAAAAAAAGGTTCAGTTTTCCTGACACTAATGCTTTTTTTTTTTTTTTTTTTTTTTTTTCCATTCACTGATGCTCATAAAAGCAAAAGGAAAAGGGAGGTGGCAGTCTGGAGATCCCACTCACCGGTCAGCACAAGTATGTTCATCTTTCCTCACATCTGACTTTTGAGCCAAAGCATAAATACTTGGTTACAAGGGCTGGGCATCCAAGGCTGCTCCAGTGCCCCCTAGTGAAAAATCGGTAAAAGCTAGCCCTTGTTTTACCCGATATTGACTGTTCATTTCTATTGCAAATCATTGCTGGTAATTAAAGTAGGACCCTTTGTCCTACTGTTTTGTAAACAATCTGGACTACTAGTCAACATGAAGATGATATACAGATCTGTCTTTCATTTCCACCAGACCAGATACTGATCTGTCTTTGCTTTTTCATCGCAAAACCCAGATCAGGAGTTGAATAAGACTTAAATGACTGTGGTTTAACCCAGACAAGAATCATTTGCCATTTGTGGAGAGAAAGAAGATCTCTGAGTGTGTAGAAGGGTGTGTCGTGCCTCAGTACTCAAATTTCCTCTTAGGTTTCTAAGCAATTAAAAAATTAGGACAGTGGTTTGGCCATCTAGATGCTGCAGATTAAGATGGGATTGGTTGGGCTGACAGATATCATAGGGGAGTGGAGGTTCTCTGGAGTAGCTGCTGTTGAAGGAGTCATGTCTCTAAAACATATTTGGAGCTGAATAGTCCCAGCAGCTGTGAAGAAAAAAATCTGTTTTCCTCCTCAGCAGAGGTCTGTATACAATATTTGTGAGAATGGGATTTCATATCACAACATGGAATGAATCTTCTCTTCCCTCTGAAGTCTCCAGAAACAAGCTCTAGAGCTTACAGCTTGAAAACAGTCTGCTTTCCCAAAAGCCACAACAGAGTTCTGATCTTTTCCTTTAAATATTCATGGTGATTAAAATTGGACTTTAATAGTTGCATGGATTCCGTTTAGGGTTATGTAGTTGTTGTTTAATTAAAATAAGTGTGTTAGCAAAAGTAAAGAACATCCTTAAATTTCATAGTGATTATTCCATGGAAATTAACCCCTTTCTTTTTGCTTTTTTTTTTTCCATTACATAGGTAAGGTGCTGTCATGCTTCCAAAAGTCAGGGTTGGTTTTGTTGCACATATGCAGATCTAGTTCTGATATCCTCACTCATTTATGTGCCATCCCTGGAAAGACAAACTCTTATCTACAGAATTAAAAAACTTGATGATGACAATTGATGTTATTAAATCATACAGTAAGAGAAATAAGTCACCTCCATTATACAGTAAGAGAAAAGTAAGGTGCATGCAGGTATAATGATTCATCCAGTACCATCCAAGAGGCTGATGGAAAAGCTGGAAAAGCTGGAGCAAGAACCTGCCACTCTGTGCCCCAGGCCAATGCCTTGCCAGTGAGTCCCCACTAATAATAAGGAACCATTAATCATTCATACAGCCTTAGCAGAATTGCATAGCTCTTCGTTGCTTCATTCAGCCATTGCCTCCCCTACAAATCAAAACCAAGCCCAAATAGCAGACTAGAAAGGAACCAGACATAATGAGAAAGACATGGGAGATTGAGGTGGGGAGGGGGCCATCTGAATGCTTGATTTTTTAACAGACTCTGGTTCCTTTAAATATCTGTGAATTTCAGCATCAGAACCAGAAATCTTTTGGGAGGTGTTTCCTTTCTCTGCTTCCAGCAGCTACCAAACCCATGCCAAATACCAGAGGAGAGAATAAAACAAAAAAGGAAAGGACATCATCACTCGCTTTTAAGGAAGCGTCTTCTATGCAATCCAATAGTCCCAAACCATTTCATACATTACTGTCACACAGTTAAATATAAATATGCCACAACTATATATTGCCATACTGGCATCTGAAGCCTGGTAACACCACAGGTAGCTTTCTCTATTTGGTATGTGCTAGTCTGTCAGGGTAGGGTTTAGGCATTCCTAGGCACCTTACACAATGCAGGCATTGCTGTGTTTGTTATTACAAGGTATCTGCCTGGTGGAGCAGAAGATTCTGCCACCTGTGACTGCAAAGGCTTTTGCTTTAAGGTTTCATGACCTATAATTTTTGTTAATGTAGGAGAAAAAGGAGAAGGAGAGAGAAATGAAAAAGTGATAAAATAATGTAGTTTTGGTTCTTGGGATATCCTATATATATATATATTTGTATTACAATAGAATACATATATCATTTTACTTTTATGCACTTATGTATGTCTATTTTTCTATTTGTCTATATAGTTATTTAGCTGACCTGTTTAATGGAGAAAAAGAATTCCAGAGTTGGGAGGGACTATTTTATATATATGTATATATACATGTAAAAGAACATAATTTCAGACCAAATCTACAAACTCAGTTTTCTCTTAAATAGTTTTTCATGTTTAAATCTTACCTCTGCTCCATCTGTGGGTCATAGTGGCATGAGCACTGTAATAGAACAGCAGCAGCAGCAAAATCTTCCAAAGCATCCTTCTATTTAAAATACGTATGTCTAGCCTAGCTGTATAGTATCTTTTTAATTTCCTACCTCCTTTCTTTTCAGGAATAAATAAATGGCTTTTCCTTTCCCCCTCCCCCTTTGAAGGAGAACCTGTCTGTTCTTCTGAGTACAGTTGAAGTCAGTGTGCAGCTCCTCTCCCAGACCAAGTCTCCTCGGGATCAGGAAACTTACTTTCACAGACAGACTTTGTTTTTATCCACATCTGGAATGACTCATGGTGCATGTGAGTTTGCTGGCAGCTGTGCGAATAAATATCATTACATTTTTGTAGTTGAGTTTCGTTTGTTATACGGGCCAGTTGGAATTTATTTTTGTCCAATAAACAGTCACAAGTAACTTCATTAAAGGACACTCTGGAATCCTACCTCTGTAGCTACTACTCTGTAACGCAGTGGGCTATACACTAACCCATGTCTAAAGCAAAAGTGTCCTCTGGAATTATGTACAGCTGCCCTTGGACGCTTAAGTCAGGGAGTGAGGCATATGCTCTGCAAGAACATTTTGCTACTGTGATTCATATAATCACTCCTTTATTAAGAACATATAATGCTGCGCTTAGACTTCAGTTCTGCAACACAAGTCCTGGCCTTTTCCTCTGTTTGGCCAGTGCAGCGAACAAGAAGCTCCAAATCCTTAACTAGCTCTCTTCAAGGTACTATGGGAACACTGAGCAGCCCTAAGGACAACCTGCAACAGTCAGGCTGAATGTGGAGAGGTGATGCTGAACAAGATAGACATTTCCTCGTTGACTCCGGCCCCTGAGAAGACGACGCTGGAAGTGTTTGTCCCAGAGTGACCCAGCACGGGGGAAGATGCAGGTATCTACCATCCCTGGCCCAGCTTCAGCAGCAGAATCAGGGGGTGCTTTGTGGGAATAACAGCAGGTTGCTGTGTGTTGGAGCAGACCAATGATAAATAGGAATACAAAGAGTATTTGGCAGAATCAAGGGATAGGGCATACTCCGTTTGGTGCTTAGAAGTGATCTGTCTAATTTTCTTCTTTTGTAGGTGAGTGTAAGCCAGGAACAAATCCACAGACATCCATGAATTTGCACTGGTGTAAAAGTGGCACATAAGAAAGGAGACTCCAGCTCAAACGCTATAAATAGAAGAATTAAGGGAAAGACCAAGAGCTGGAATGTCAGAGGGCACTTTGGCTCAAGATTAATGGGTACTGGCAGGAAGGCATGGAGAAAACCTGTTCAGCTCCTGTCTGCATCATGCCAAAGTCTGGCTTTAGCCTCAGTACCCTCATTCTTTTCTGTCCCAGCTTGAAGTAGCACCAGCTGTAAAGGAAGAAGGAGGGTCAAATAAGGTTGTCTTGCTTAAGGCGACTCCACTTCTTTTCCTACATGTACAGATTTTCCGATGCTCAGACTGCCTCAGGTTACTCCCACATGAACAGTACATGAATGTAAGACAGTATTTTACATGCCAAGGAGATGACAACATGTATAATTCAAGCAGAGGGTGGCTAACAAACTCTCTTGCTATATACTCTTCTTTTTACCATAACATAGTAGAGATGGGTCTGAATGCAATGTTAAAGCTAGGAGTGTGCTCACTCAAATGTATCTGTCTGGAAATTATGGAGCTGGAGTAAACTGGTTTTACATTCCCTAGAGAAGAGGGGAGAGAAAGACATGCCACAAGAGGATGATTATTTCTACTTAGCTCAGATAAGTCACTTAGGACAGGATGAGTTGCTCTCTGGAGCAGGTGAATCCAGTCATCAGCATGGTCAGTTCTGAGGAGATGTGCGTGAAGATGATTTGCATCAAGAAGGTGCAAATTGCACCACAGTAAGAGAGTAATGATCTGTCAGCTGCTGAGGAAAAACCATTGTAGTATAACTCCTATTGGAAAGACTTCAACCAGTACGGAGAGCTTGGGGAAATACACTTTAATTTAGTAAACCACCTCAGTGAAAGACCTTTAGCAAGAGAACACAGTGGGTATAGATGGTTTCATTAACTTAACTGCATCAGCCTTAGCTACCCTGGCATGACAATCTTAATGTCAGCAGGGTCTGTGAACAAGATGTTTCAAAGTGAGTTAGACAAGAGAGAAGCAGCACTTAGAATGTGTATTGAAGGCTTGAAAAATGAAAGAAAATTATGAGTAAACTTAAAATCCTGTGAGGTAACATAGGAACACATTTTCCGTGGTGGAAGCTCTTCTGAAGTGCTGCATCATTTTATTTTTTACTTCTAAAGAAATAGCAGCTGGTAAGAGAGGATGAAGAAGGCCAGACAGGCTCTATACCCCTCTAAACCAGAATCAGAACTATTTTGCAGTAAGATGCCTGTAGGATGGCTCTGCCTCCTGTCTGCCAGAAACAGGACACTTCCTCTGCTCGTTCATCGTCACTGCTTTATATATCCAGCCTAGAAAGGGGGAGGAGAAGAATCCCAGGAACTTTCATCCCCTCCACCTCCAGCCTCTGGAGCAAGTGCCCTAAAAACAACAGAGGAGCAGCAGCTGAGACAGAAAAGATGTGTGATAAGACTGGCACACAGCTCAAAGGGATATGAGGGCATGAAATGATTTCTGATCTCTCCTTTTTCAGACCCTGGAGATGTTGCTCTGAAGCTACATTATATGCTATTTTTAAATTATTATTTATTTCTCCTTAATCTGAGTCTGGCTACAGAATCCTCTCTAGCAGACTTTTCCTTATCTGATCTGAAATGCAAACTCTCCCCACCTGTGGTTCAAGGTCCAATAGTGCAGTCTTCACATGTTCCAGCTTCGACTGCCTCTTTGTGTGTACCACAACTGTAGGGCAGATTTGACTTTAAGACTGTGAATGATGCACTCACATGTGTTTTATAACAGGAAATGCAGCTGTAAATATAACAGGTCCATGCAAAATAAATCATGCTTTCCCTGTGGCATCTCCTCAAGAAGTGTAAATGCCCCTTTTCTCCCTTAAAACTGGAGATCTTTTCCTTTCCCATATGGATATATATACACAGAGAGTCATATCCTCCCTATTAAAAAGCCCTCCAGATGAAGCCAGGAAATAAATCTTTCAAGCATGCTCAGGGCACTTCAGCTAAACAGCTTCTATTCATCTCATGACTATATTTTATTAGATAGTTGCTCAGCTTCAGCTCAAGGCAGTTTCTGCCTATGCTGGAGGTTTGAATCACTGCAACTATAATGAATGCTGAAGCAGGGTAGAAATCCTCATTAGTCATAAATATTAAACACTCCTAGATTACTTTGGAAGTATCAAGTAGAGGAGCTTTATGGTGGAGAATTCATCCCAAAGATGCATCTGGTAGGAGAGGGTACCACGCTGCTGAAGCCAGGAGGCTGAGAGCTGGTCTGCTGGCTCGTCGATATTCAGGTCTTAAATCAGTGTAGTGCTAGACACTGTCACAGTTATGTTAAGGTGACTATTTATGTTTTGAGAATTCTCATAAGTTTAGGTGTTGGAGCTGCGAGTCCTCCAGTGCTCCCAGTATCTGCGAAACCCTTCAGGCACAGGAAAAGTGTGACTGACTGCTGCCTCTGGCAGGCTGGCTGAGGTGAAAATGGACATTTATACCAGTGTCAGTGATATGGCTAGATACCAAAGGGAGCAGCTTTTCCTTTTGATTCCTCCATCCTGATGCTGTCAGCGAGTGTCTGTAGTCCCACTCAGTCTTTTTAAGAAACGTGGAAATAGGGCAGGGAAGAAAAGAGTGGGTGAAGAAGGAACAGGGAAGCTGCCAGCTGCCTTTTTGCAGCCCAGGCACAGTGAGAGCAGAGAGCTGGTATTGGCTCTCCAAAGCTGTCCTTCCTTCCCATCACAGATGCTGTCATGGTGAAAGGACATCTTCAGCAGGCTGAGAGTGTAGAAACTCTGTATTTCCCAGGGGATGCTCTGGAGTTCCCAGTGCTTCAGGTGAGGTGTTTCTCTGTCCTCTTTAGTAGCTCATTGTGTGAAATAACTTACAGTCTAAAAAGAATAGACGGGGAAACAAGGCAACAGGTGATCCAGGACCAACAGCTCGTGGGTTTTTCAAGAAAAATAATTTATTTTTTACTGGAGAATACCAGCTCATGATGTCGGTTCAGCTTTGGTTTTGATGAGCTTCTGCCAAATTCTGAGGCAGGGTTCCAGTCTGCCCTGACATCTCAGTCACTGTGAGCATCCCTTGCAAATTTCCTATCAAGTAGATATTTTTATATTTGCCCTGGTTCAATTTGAAAACAGAGTGTGTGTAAGGAGAAAGTTCCTCTGAACCAGAAACTCTGGTCTGCAGGCAAAGCCCTACCCTGCTCCACAGGCCGTGCAGCATCTGCCTGCTAGAGTGCCAGTGCAGTGGAACAGTGTCGATGCATGACACAGACGTTGGTCTCCTTCCCACCACAGAGATGGATAAATGGAGACATACACACAAAGTGACTCACTCACTGAATGAATTGATGGTAGAGCTGAGACTAGAAAACCAAAAGCTGATCCTCTGCTCTGCCCAAAATGGAAAGCCCTGGTCTGGCACTGCAGCAGCTCATGCAGCACCAGTGCCATCAACCAAAAAGAGAAAGTAACTTCTACAAGAGGCCAAGAAGTACCCTTATAACTAGGAGCACAAAGACAAAAAAGAATAGCTGTAGGCAAGCTCTCAGAAGAAGAAAAGAAGTTCTATCAAGACTGGACTACTGGCATTTGAACCTCATTATCCATGGTGACTCTTGCTGGCACCTCAGCTGAGGTTGCTGCTTTCTGCAGCAAGTTTGCATGGCAGAATCTCACTGAGCCTTGAAGCAACAGCAGCCAGGATGCCATACACTGCAATGGAGGTGTAAGCTGGAAGGGAATTTGAGACTTCTTTTAGTTGTCCTTCTGCCCCAGAGCTCCCTTGCTACCTTGATCTAGCTGCCTGAGCTCACATTCACAAGAGCACTTAGATGCTGAGCTGACACTTTACAGATCTACATTTAAATAACCAAAATTTAAATTCTGCCCATGCGGTACTGCAGATATCTGAACTCTTTGTGTGCCTAAGCTTCCCTTGTGAGGCTCCTGAAAAGCTTGGATCACTCTATTTACCTTGA